CCTTTAGAAGATGGAGGTAAGCTATAGCCAGAAATGATTTTAATTATTTTCCACAATATTCAGTTGAAATGATTTTCAGTGTTATTTATGGAAGTGCTGCTTTTATAAAGTTTATATTAGTCTCAAAAAGTGGAAAAGGAGCTCTAGATGAGGTAGGTATAACAAGCCTATACAAGTGTTATTTCAGTAGAACGCAGTTCATTTTTCCTCTTAAGAGTATGCTAGGTTTGGGTTTGCACAGACATGTTAATGCTGAAAAGAAAAATAAACATTGTTTAGGAAACTACTGAGTTTTCTCATTTGTGGGTGAATCTTTTCTATGCTGTTTTCATTATTTTACTGTTTTAGATTTCATTTTAAAGAAAGGTGTGTTTTGTGTAGGTTATCCATGATGTTTCTTTGCTTTAGTAATGTTTTTGTTTCAGATTTAACTTTTTTATTAAGTGTGAATTAAAACTATATTTACAGTGCTTTTTTATTTTAAAAAACATTGAAGCTTCTTAAATTAGATTTGTGCTTTTTTGTTTTAGGTCTGATGTATGAATTTTGGTATTCTGTTTTTCTTTTTTTAAAGGAGGATTCTGATTGAGCATATAGAATGAATTTGTAGCTTTGAACAGGAGTACTTGGTTTCTTTTTATTTGTTTCATATTTGTAGTGAGGTTTTTAATATACAAAAAAAAATGAGCTAATGATGCTTCAGATGTTGTATGTAATGTATTCTTTTTATTTTATGTGTAGATGGCTCTTGGACAAATCCGAGCAGTACAACACACTGGGAGGGAATGCCCTCTCCTTTTAAAGGCAGGAATTTTTATTTATTACCTGTGTTTAGTATGTAAACATGAAATAAACCAGTAGATTCTTAATGGACACAGCTGTCTCTTGGTTTATGTGTCTGAATTTTTGAAGTGGGGAGAAGAACCATAGGACTTTCAGTTTTAGGGTTTCCAGTCTTACAAATTTTATTCATCCAAGGAGGGTAATTGTGTAGCTGCTTTGAGGTGGTTTTTGTTTGTTTGTTTGTTCCCTGAAGTTATATGTAGTAAAATGTTTCATTGGGAATAATAGGGCCAGTTAGGTGTGACACAGCCCTTTTGGTATAGCTTTGTGGTCACTGTCAAATACACCCCTTTTGATATATCAGATTTTTTCTTTGATAGTTCTCCCCAGGCAGTTCCTACAGTGGAAGCATCATTAGCCTTCACCATGTGATATTTTGTCAGTATTGAACTTAAATACTTTTGTCTTATTCTAAACTGTTTAACAGTAAAGTCAGTGATTTGGTAGAATCAAAGAAGTTTTAAATGTCTGTGCATTGTGTAAACATGAAGGAAATGAAAGAATGTAGTTTTTCTTTAGATTATTGGGCCTGGGTTGAATTGTGGCAATTTTGGTTCAAGTGATAAACCTTTATGTCAGGTATTTTAATAAACATTTATATTCTTACTTGACGGGGGGAAACTTTGTACTTATTTGCAAAAATTAAATGACATTTAATTTTGCAGATCAGCCAGATGCTAAGAAAGTTGCTCCTCAAAATGACTGTAAGTATTTTAAGCTGAAGAAAATATTTTTCTTTGGGGGATGGAGAGATGGCTTAGTGGTTACAAGCATTGGCTGCTCTTGAAGTGGACCTGGATTTGGTTCCCAACATTGACAGTGGGCAGCTAACAACCATCCATAACTCCAGTTCAAGGGGAATCCCAGGCCCTCTTCTGGCCTTCAAGGGCATTGCACCACACAGGTGCACTTAATGTAAGCATATATGTAGGAAAGTACTCATGAGACGCATGAAATAAAAATCAAATTTTAATGCTTCTCTTTAATTATGGCCAGGTATATAGACATTGACCATTGAATTACATACATTCTTTAATTCCTCTGCTTATTCTGTACTATCTACCATTGCTAGTATATTTGCTCCTTTACTAGTTTCCATGCCACTCTCAATGCTGATTGAACAATTATTAAGAAATATTCTCTCAGTGTGTAGTCTGGCGTAGATTTTAGAATGCTTGATGTGATTGTTTTGTTAAGTAAGTAAACTTGAACATTTAATTTTTATAGCTTTTGGAACACAGCTACCGCCAATGCATCAGCAGCAAAGGTACAGTCAAGAGCATTTTGAAGAGTGCTTTGCAAGTCTTAGTTCAGATGTATGTACACCCATCCAAGTTGATAGTGAATGTGAATCTGCATATATGTTGGTATATATAATTTATCCCCCCCCAAAGATGTTAGAAAAACTGGTCACTTTTTTTTTTAAGCTAAATTGATAATTTGGAAACATAGGTCAAAATTGCCATATTTAGAAGAACTAAGGTAAAATAAATGTTTAAAGTAACACTCCCTAAACTCCATTCTTCTGGTTTATTGGGGGGTGGGGGTCTTTTGAGACAGGGTCTCCCTGTAGCCCCAGGTGGCCTGGCTCACTTTTGCAGCTCATGCCTTTGGGTATCTAGTCACCATCTCTTCTTCATTTGTATGTGCTGCCTTATTTAAGAATCTTAGTTTAGGCGGCTGGAGAGGTGGCTCAGCAGTTAAGAGCACTGACTGCTCTTGCGGAGGACCTGGGTTTGAATCCCAGCACCCACGTGGCCGCTAACAACTGTCCATAACTCCAACACCCTCTTCTGACCTCCACAGGTCTTACACAACACAGGTGCACTCACATGCAAGCAGTACGCTCGTGCACATAAAATAAAAATAATAAAAATATTTTTAATGAAGAATTGCTAAACTACTTAATGAGCCCATGAATACTAAAACCTTACTATAAGCTATTGAGACAGACTTCAACTTACTGGATTACCTTTTGTATGTTAGCACAAATTATCTTTCTTTGAAGGTAAATGTTCATTTCTATTATTTCTCAGTAGGTCTGTGATGACAGAAGAGTACAAAGTTCCAGATGGAATGGTTGGATTTAGTAAGTAACCTGATTTCTTAAAGTTTTCGAAACATAGTATATTTTTAAAACTTAGAGCGAATAGTAATTGCCTCCTTTTTCCACCATCTAGTAATTGGCAGAGGCGGTGAACAGATCTCACGCATACAACAGGAATCTGGGTGCAAAATACAGATAGCTCCTGGTAATGTTGTTCTTTTGGTGTTTTCTTTTGTGTGTATAGAATTTTTTTTGAGAGAGTGGCTAGAAAACCAAACATTTTAAGTTTCATGGTATTGTGATACTACTAACTGACCTAAAGTTTTTGGTTTTTTTTCATTGTAGATAGTGGTGGCCTTCCAGAAAGGTCTTGTATGTTAACTGGAACACCAGAATCTGTCCAGTAAGTTTGAAAATGTTAAATCTTGTTGCTCACTTCTTGAAAAGTTAACTCATTAAAGTTTATGCCTCATGCCTTCCTAAAATAGGGTTCTTTATCTGAAACACAGAACACAGGAGATTATTAACATCAGGATCTGAGGAGGTAGCTCATTCAAGTGATTGCCTTCCAAGCATTGAGGAGCTGAGTTTGATCCCCAGGGCCCATGTTTAAAAATAAATAAAACGGTTGGGAATTTCTCTCAGTGATAGAGCACTTGGCCCTGGGTTTAGTCCTCAGCTCCGAGGAAAAAAAAAAAAAAAAGGACAAAAATTGATAAAACTACTGGGCATGGTATTATGTGCTTGTAATTCCATTATTGAGGTGGTGGAAACAGGCAGCCTACACTATTTGGAGTTTCCAGTCTAGTGAAAGATCCTGTGGAAAGGTGGATGGCACACCACAGAAATAACACTTGGTTGTCCTGTAACCTCTACACAATACATCTGCACACCGGAACACTAAGAAAACATTTATAACCAACGTGGTGCCTATTTCAACAACTACTTGAAAAACTGAATTGGCTTACAGACAAATATGTTGAATAATGTTACTTGGAAACTCACAGCTGTTATTAAGGTCATGAGGATTTATGTGTTATCCATGTTTCTCTTTTTTCCATGAGTTCTCTTCCACTTGTCTCTTACTATGTCATCTGTACAGTCTTGAGCATTTAGCCTTTGGTTTACCCCTTACACTTTTTTACTGAGAGCTTAGTGGCAAATTGTCAGTTTTTTGCCTCCTGCTGCTAAAGCTCACCAGCCTGGTCCTGCTGTCACTAGAATTCCTGTTGTCCTCATGCTTGTCTGCTGAGACCAGCCCTTTTCACATTGCCCGCTGACTCTTTACTGCATTACCAGTCTTTTTTTCAAGTTAATGAATTAATTAAATTTTTTAGAAACACTTTATTAGCTTCACTTTTTCACATTCCTTGGTGGTTTGGCTTTTCTTTCTGGCTTCAACATGGAAGTGCTCCCAAATTCAACTCAACACATCAGTGTATACTTAATAAGTGACTTAACCCTGTTAAGCATTATTTACTAAGTGTATCCTGTAAGTTTGTTTATATACTCTTAAACTTTTATTTTCAGTCTAAATCTCTGTCCTAAATTATACTTTGTATGAGTGTATTGCCTACATGTGTATGTAAGTGCACCTGTGTCATGCAGTGCCTGCAGATGTCAGAAGAGAGGATCAGATCCCCTGGAGCTGGAGTTACAGACGGTTGTTAGCTACCTTGTGGGTGCTGGGAATCGAACCTGGTGCTCTGCAAGAGCAGCCAATGCTTTTAACCTCTGAGCCATCTCCAACCCCCCCTAAAATTGTGCTCTTAAATACCCAACTGCTTTCCCCATATCTTCACTTGAATGTGTATTAGACATCTCCTAATTTATTTTTGTTTTTGTCTGGTGCTAGGAATTGAATCTAGGGCCTGGTATGTGCTATAGTTCTGCACAGCTGGCTGGCTACCTGTCCATCCCAGACATTAAATATAAATTCTTTGGATTGTACCTCATCTCTGAGACTTTTGTTGATTTTATTCATGTCTCGTATAAAAAAACAACTGTTTTAAGGACTCACTTTGTCTTATACTTTAACTCATCACTTTTCAATCTTATGTGTGTTAGTGATGCCTGCAGAGGCCAGAAGAAAGTGTTGAATCTTTTTGGAACTGGAGTTAGGAATGGTGGTTAGCCACCGTGTAAGTGCTGGGAATCCAACCTGGGTCTTCTGCAGAGTAATCAGTGCTCTTAACTGCTGAGCCATTCTCTAGCCACTTTCACAGTTTAATCAGAACCCACCCTCTTGCTGATCTCTGTACTACCATGCATGTTACTCAGGATAATGATTCTTGTGATACTGTGGTCTTAGGAGTCTTTTAAGGTGTAAATCAATTCATATGACTATTTGCTAAATCTCCTTAATGTGTCCCAAGTTATAAGGCCATGTTTTTATTGTGATCTGACTTGCCTGCCATCTTTTAATTTTTTTTTTTTTGCCGTATTTTTGGTCTCTAACCCTGTTCTAGCCCCATTTCACCTTCCTTTGAGCACCCCCAATGTGCCCTACTGGAATTCTTTGCACTTCTGTGCAAAGAAAGTTTCATAGCCACTGTTCTACTTCAAGTGTAGATTCTTGTCTCCATCTTCGGTAGTGGAGTGTTTCTGTGTATGCTTTGAGATGGAGTTTTACTGCCTATCTTGTCTCAGCCTTACAATGGTAAAATTACTGGTGTGGGGGCCATCGTACCCAGCTTTATCAAATAAGATGACATCCTTTTGTAAACATACTTGGGTATTCTTCCTCTTGGCTTTAATTTTCTTAATGGCACTTAACAGATAGGGTTGAGAATTGGGCATGGTGACATAAGGCAGTAACCAGCACTTGCATAGAAAAGGCAAAAGGATCGGGAATTGAAAGTCATTCTTGAATACTAAGTTCAAAGCTAACTGGAGCTGTATGAGCAATCTGACTTTCCACAATGGTATATCTCAGTGTTAAAATAGGTATTTGCCACACCTAGAGCTTTGGATTCAATCCACGGTGGCACCAAAGAAATTAAGTCACTTAATTCTTGAAGAATCATCTTAATTCCTAGACTACTTAATATTAGAGTATTCCTCCTTAGAAGCCTGGAAACTATTCTCAAATAAAATGCTTATAAAGTACATTTCATACTCTCAATCTTGGATCCTTGTTGACATTTTTTAAATAAAGGTAATGTTAAAATTGGTTTTGAGGTACCTAATGTTGAACTAGAGTAAAATTACCTGACAGTGTTAGTTTATATTTTTGGATAAGATTCATTATACTACACATTTTTATTTGAAGATTAATTTGTTAACAGATCAGCAAAAAGGTTATTGGACCAGATTGTTGAAAAGGGAAGACCGGCTCCTGGCTTTCATCATGGTGATGGACCTGGAAATGCAGTTCAAGAAATCATGATTCCAGCTAGCAAGGCAGGATTAGTTATTGGAAAGGGAGGAGAGACTATTAAACAACTTCAGGTATTACTGTTTTCTAAAATCATTACTTTGAAGCATTTTGAAGTTATTTTTTACCTTTGTAACTTGTATAATTTTCATGATTTTAACAGGAACGTGCTGGTGTTAAGATGGTTATGATTCAAGATGGGCCTCAGAACACTGGTGCTGACAAACCTCTTAGGATTACAGGCGACCCATACAAAGTTCAAGTAAAGCTCACTTTATATAAAAGGGCTAAGTGGGTTTGAGCAAAATACACATCAAGATGTTTTAAGACATACTTTCTAATTTGCGTGCTCTTTCTACTTTAGCAAGCCAAGGAGATGGTGTTAGAGTTAATTCGTGATCAAGGTGGTTTCAGAGAAGTTCGAAATGAGTATGGCTCCAGAATAGGAGGAAATGAAGGGATAGATGTAAGTAAAAGGGTAGAATCAGATGCTTGTACTCCTACTGCATAGATGCACTGCTTTTTTCTGTTTTCCCTTAGATGGACTTCTCTGACATTGTATCCCTTTTTCTCACTTTCTACTTGGGATATTTTATATTTCACTATTTTGACATTAGCTTGGTGCTGTATTTTATGATTTGGTGGACATGAATTTTTTAAAAATTCCTTTTTAATATACTTTCTTATGCATAAGGTACCAATTCCAAGATTTGCTGTTGGCATTGTAATAGGAAGAAATGGAGAGATGATCAAAAAAATACAAAATGATGCTGGTGTTCGAATTCAGTTTAAGCCAGGTAAGCATATTTATCTAATGTTCTAAGAATTGATAGCTGTTACCTCACTTTGAGATTGAATATTTAATTCAACATGGGTTTTTTGTTTTTTTTTTTCCACTGTTTTAAAGATGATGGAACAACGCCTGATAGGATAGCACAAATAACAGGACCTCCAGACAGATGTCAGCATGCTGCAGAAATTATTACAGACCTTCTCCGGAGTGTTCAGGTTTGAAAGGAAATTTACCATTTTCGTTTTTGTTTTCATTGGGGAAATTGTTAATATTTTTATTGAATTGTATGTGTGTGGGTTTGTTCATGTGTGTTCAGTGCTAGAGTTATAGGCAGTTGTGTGCCTTCTGGTGTGGACATAGGGAATCAAACTTGGGTTCCTTGGAAGAGCAGTAAGCACTAAGCCATTTCTCCAGCCACTGGAAAAAGTTTTATTTTTTAACAAGTGTCATACCTACATTATATCAATTTTTTTTCTGGAGACAGGGTTTCCTTTATAGCCCCACCTGGCCTGGAACTGGCTATATAGACCAGATTGGCCTAAATCACATGGAAATCTGTCTGCCTCCTGAGTGCTAGGATTAAAGGTGTGACATGCCATGCCCAGCTCTAATTTTATTTATATTTAATTACATGTGTATGAGTGTTTGGTTGTATATGTATACTGCCTCCATGCAGTGTCTGCGGAGACCAGAAGAGGGTGTTGGATTCCCCCTGGAACTGAAGTTCAGAGATGGTTGTTAAGTAGCCACTGTGACCTAGGCTTTTGCAAGAGCAGCCAGTGCTCTTAGCTGCTGAACCATCTCTCCAGCTTCTTGATAATACATGCAAATACCCAAAGGTTTTAGTCGCTCTGAGGTGCACCTCTTAGAGCAGGAAACATTGTCATATAAATGCTCTTACATTATTCAAGTCATGTTATTGTGGGTGACACATATTCCATGGTATTCCTGTGGAGATCAGAGAGCAGCTTTGTGGAATTGATACTCTTCTTCCATCTTTATATGGGTTCTAAGAATCAGGCTCAGATCATCAGGCTTATATGGCAAGTGCCTTTACCAATTGAGTTATTTTTCTGGTGTCCCTGTTCAGTCCCCATCCCCCCCACCCCCAGTGTATTTGAAAGGTGGAAGTTATCCTTACTAAATACTTTTTGTCAAGTAATTTACAAAGCCATCTCTAAATTTCGTGTCTGGGAAAAATAAACGCAAATTTCTCAGGTTTTATTTCTGTGCTAAGTTTTTTTTCCTTTGTCCCTTCTTAGGCTGGTAATCCTGGTGGACCTGGGCCTGGTGGTCGAGGAAGAGGTCGAGGTCAAGGCAACTGGAACATGGGACCACCAGGTGGACTCCAGGAATTTAATTTCATTGTGCCAACTGGGAAAACTGGATTAATAATTGGGAAAGGTAATTTTTAAATTCCTGAACTTCCCAATTTTTCTGTATACTTTCTGTTGTAAACAAATGGTGGTGATTTTCCTTTACCTGTAGTTTAATAGAAAAAATTTTCTTTATGTGGCAACTAAAACAGAAGATCTTAATATATACTTAAAATGAATCTCATTGTCTCCAGAAAGGGGTCCAAAATTTAATTTGTGGGGGTTTTTTTTTCCTTTATAATATCTGGTTATTCAAACCAAGTAACTTTCCTGAGTTCTTCACTACCTTAGATTATATTTTAAGTTGTCACTAAGGTATTTTGAATGAGTTGCTTCATATAATTTGATGTGAGCAGCAAAATAAATAAAAAATCCTAACAAATGACTGACAGATGGGATTCTGCTAAACTTTATTTAATGGCCTAATAAGTAAGGGCTTTTTTAAGTAGTACCTCTGATATCCTTTGACTTGTTAGGGAACTTGATATCTTTTGATTTCAGGAGGTGAAACCATAAAAAGCATAAGCCAGCAGTCTGGTGCAAGAATAGAACTTCAGAGAAATCCTCCACCTAATGCAGATCCTAACATGAAGTTATTTACAATCCGTGGCACTCCACAGCAAATAGACTATGCTCGGCAACTCATAGAAGAAAAGATTGGGGTATGTGTGTAGGCTTTGTTTAGTTTGGTTTGGTCTTTTTGAGATGGGCCTACCTCTAGCTCAGGCAGGCCTGGAACTCACTGTGTCAATATGTAGACTAGGCTGGCCTCGATCTCACAGAGACCTGCCTGCCCCTAGCATTAAAGGTGTGCACCACCAGGCCAGGTATGGGGTTAGTATGCTTTAAACTTGTAATTTATAGCATAGTTTCCATTACTTTAAAATGGTAATTGAGATGCACTATAAGAAAATGTATAATTTCTAACCTGAAATTACAGGTTTTGTAGTATAGCAAATATGTGTATGTAATGTAGGAAAGATGTCCAGAAATAAAAATAGCATAATTAAAAATTCAGTTACAAATCTTTGAAATAACCACCTTACCTTTGGGTATGCCTAGCCATAGGTAAGAAGTGATACTAAGTTTGGTAGAGGTATAAAACCTAAGTAATTACAGGGATTGAGTATCAAGGTTCAAACCATTTCTCTTGAGTTCTGGGTTTGAACTGGTTTGAAATGTTGATTCCTTGATGATTTCTTTCACACATCATGCACAGGCAGTCCTAACTTAGAATGTCTAGAATAGGGCCTAGGGGACTAGGGAGGTGGTTTGATTGGTAAAGTGCCTACCATGAGCGCATGAGAACCTGAATTTGATCCCCAACACCCATGTAAAAATAAAAAAACAAGTACACTGATACTTGCTCATAATCTCAGAACTGGGGATACAGAGTCAGGAGGTTAAATCAGCGAATTTCAGGTTCAGTGAGGTCTCTGAAAGGTGGGGAGAGCAGTCAGGAAAGACTGATTTGACCTCTTAACTTCACTAGCACATCTGCACCTACACTGACAGGATTGTACACTGCACAGACAGCACATGCATACACTCACCATACCACACACATAAAAATAGGACCCAATATCTAGATTTTGAGACAGGGTCTCCTGTAGCCCCAGCTGTCCTGGAACTCACTATGTAGACCAGGCTGGCCTCAAACTCACAGAGATCCACCTGCCTCTGCCTCCTAAGTGCTGGGATTAAAGGCGTCCGCCACCATGCCCGGCCCAACATCTAGTTTTACAAAGATAGCCCTAGTAATTTTGATGCACAATTCTGGAAAGTTTTCTGGTGGTACAGCAAAGCATTATGAAGAGTCTTGACATACATACGTACATATATGTATATATATTCTCTTTTATTTTTTGTCTTTGAGACGGGGTCTCCCTGTAACCCCAGCTGTCCTGGAACTCTCTATGTAGACCAGGCTGGCGTTGAACTCACAGAGATCCGCCTGCCTCTGCCTCCCGGGTGCTGGGATTAAAAGCATGCACCACCATGCCTGGCTTGACCAATATATTTTAATAATGAAGCAAATGTTCTGTGTTATTTTTGCAATGAAAAGTTAATGTAGTGTGTGACGGCACATCTTAAATTATTGATAATCTGGTGAATGGCTGCACACTAGGCAGTACATATTGGACTTGATTTTTTTTTTTCTTTAAGGCATGATGGGGAGGTGAGTTTAGTATGACATTAGGGGAAGTGAGTATGATCAAAATACATTGTGGATTTCTTAGATTCTTTTAATGCTGTGGTTACAAAAGAAATTCAAGACTATTTTCTGTGTAATTGGGAAGCCAAAGGTTGGGGGGAGTATGCAAAAGACAGAATATGCTGTACCTGGTTTAAAAAAGAAAAAAAAAAAATCTTTAATCCCAGCACTTGGGAAACAGAGGCAGGTGGATCCCTTTAAGACTGAGGCCATCCTGGTCTGTATAGTGAGTTCCAGGTTAGCCGGATCTACAGGGAAATCCTGTCTCCAAAAATAAACATGAAAAATTAGTTGGCCTTTTGAGATGCTCACTTTCTTTTGGGTTTTTGGGAGAGGTTTTTTTTGCTCTAACTTTTATGTCTTTTGTTGTTTTGTAGGGCCCAGTAAATCCGTTAGGGCCACCTGTACCCCATGGGCCTCATGGTGTTCCAGGCCCCCATGGACCACCTGGGCCTCCAGGGCCTGGAACTCCAATGGGACCATACAATCCTGCACCTTATAATCCAGGACCACCTGGCCCAGCTCCTCAGTAAGTACTGAATTTGGTTCTGGCCTGTTCCCTAAAGATCCTAGCTTTTGGAAAATAAATGGTATTTGTGTATTTTCTTTTCAGTGGTCCTCCAGCCCCATATGCTCCCCAGGGGTGGGGAAATGCATATCCACATTGGCAACAACAGGCTCCTCCAGATCCAGGTAAAAGACCTATTGTTAATATGTTGTCCGTGTTGTTTGCTTACTGGCAGTTTTATTGATTTCCACATTTGTGTGTGTTGTCTTCACTTTCAACAGTTAGGCACTTCTACCACAGTGTTAAAACTGATATGGTCTTTCATAAAACTTTTGCTACATAAAGTACAGGATCTTGAGTTTTAGATACCACTGCTGTTCAATGTATAGTGTGTCTGGCTTTAGAATAGTTTGTGTGTTTATAAAATTTTGTGCATGTCTAACGGTGGTAAGTTATCAAATAGGATATAAACTACTGCTTATAGGACATCTTTAAAACCTTTAGTAAAATCTGGGTCTGTTTAGTAGCTCCTTACTGAAGCTCTAAAATACATTTTCTCCATTAAAACAGCATTATGTTCTCTTCTGACATCTTTCCATACTGTAGTGTTTTCCCATCGTGATCTAAGCGATCAGCTTAGACATGATTCCATTTTCATTTGCCTACATTTTAGGGTTCAGTGGAGTAGTTTCAAAGAATGTGTTGTGGATTACTTTCTACTCAGTATATTTATTTTTGAAAAACCAAAGTATTTAAATGCAATTGCTTTATTGAATTTGTTTAATGTTGTAAAGTGATCCTATAATAGAAGACATGTTAATTTCATAGAACCTGTTCTCTGTCACCAAGTAACCACAGCTTCTACTCATTTAAGAAGCAACTTGAATTTTGCTGGTGTCTGAATATGCAAAGCTGAGCTTATGTCCCATAGCACAACATGCATTCCAAGTGTAAGCAATAATGTGATAGGCATGTAGGGGTATAAAAGCATCGAATCTGATTTATTCTATTATATAATTTTAAAAGCTAATCTTCATGTCTTAGAAGCTCATTGGAATGATAAATAAAAGAAGGAGAATCAAGGGTTTGGACAGGTTAAGGGTAAGGGTTGCACTGTGAGTAGGGTTTGGGGAGATAGCTATCAGGATTGAGAAAAATTATGCAGTAAGGATTGGTCTTTCTAATATTTTTCCACTTTGATTGACAGTCCACTTAGCTGACAGATGACACCTAAATAGCCTGAGGTTTATGACATGGTTAATGACTGGGGATTAAGTGTTGCTTATGTTAGACTTAGAAATATATAGGGTTTTATCTTTATTCTCTAAAATCTATTTCTATCAAAAAAAAAAAAATACTTTAGATTTACATAGGTGTCAATAATTTAGACTTCAGGCCAGGCCTGGTGGTATATTCCTTTTATCCCACATTTGGGAAGCAAATGTTCAAGACCAACCTGGTCTGCATACAAGGTCTAGGCTAGCCAGAGCTACATAATGAACCCTGTCTCAAAAAAATTTTTATTTCATAGTCAAGTAGGCCTAGATTAGTTCTAGACTTTAACCTCACTAATTATGGGGTGTCAAGTTTTAATCTTTCTAAGCCTGTTTTTTATTGATACTGTGTTAAAGAATAGAGGTTCTCAATACTCAGTACATGTTTACATATAAAGAACCAACTTTCTTCGATGAAGAAATGTCAGGCTAACATTTTTGTTTAAGCATAATTAAAGATGAGCTAGTCTGCTAATGACCAAGGGCTATGGTTAGTAACTTATGAAAATATAATAGCTTATTGTGGAACCTGTATGTTGGAGAAATACCAACAGAAGGGAGAGGAGAGGCTGAAATAGAAAAGAAAAGCTAGAGTATTGTAGACGTGGTTCAGTTGGTGAAGTGCCTGCTTCACAAGATGAGGACCTGAATTTAATCCTGAACACCTGTGTAAAAGCTGGGTACAGAGGTGCATGTCTGTAACCCAAGTACTGAGGAGGCAGAGACAAATTAATGGGCAGCCAGCTTGGCTAAATCAGTGAGCTCCAGGTTCAGCAGGAGAGCCTGACTCAAAAAAAAAAAAAAAAAAAAAGGATAGAAGAGACTGGAGAGATGGCAGCTCAGCATTTGAGAATACTTAATGCTCTTGGACAGGAGCAGAGTTCTCAGCATCCAGCACCTTCTGCCTCTGCAGGCATATGCACTCGCAACATCTTGCATTAAAAGAATACGGAGAGAAATCTAGGAAGTCATCCAGCATCAACCTCTGGTCTTCACAAACTTGTTGCATGCACATGTGCACATGTAAAATGATCTCCTGTCTATATCATTAAAGTTGTTCACAGTAGAGGACACATGCAAATAATCCTGGCACTTGGGAGATGGAGGCAGAGAACAAATGCAAAAATTGGAGGCCAGCCTTAGCTACATGAGACACAGACTCAAAGGGGTCAGGGGTTACCAAATATGTTATACTTAGAACTTTGACTGTCCTAAAGATTCCAGAAAATGAATTAGAGGAGTATCGTAAAGACTGTGAACTGTTGTGAAAAAAGTGTAATATTTCTAATCTCTGTTTTTTTCTTATATAAATTAGCCCATAGCTGTCTTCTGTACAGAACTGTTGTGCTTTGCAGCTAAACTGGTTTGGAAAAACATAAAGGCACAGGATGGGCTGAGACAAAGCATTGGATTTGAAGCCAAAAGATCATCCATTCATATCCCAGTTCACCACTCATTAGTTCTTATAACCTAGGAACTTAATACTTGAGCCATTGGTTTCTTTATTAAAAGCCAAGTAATAGCAGAAAATTGTGAAGTTTTCTACTTACTATTTACTGTTGGTGTCTTGACTTTGGGGTTTGTTTTTTAAGAGAGCTCTGGGAAGGTAGATTGATATTTTTTTTTTTTTATTGTGCATATAAACCTTGAACTTTTGTTTTAATTCTAGCAAAGGCAGGAACAGATCCAAATTCAGCAGCTTGGGCTGCTTATTATGCTCACTATTACCAACAGCAAGCACAGCCCCCACCTGCAGCTCCTGCGGGGGCACCAACTACAACTCAAACCAATGGACAAGGTAACTATGGTAATTAAACATTTATTTTATATTTTAAAACCAAAGCTTGTGTTTGGAGTTGTGTATGAAGTATATCACTATGCAATACCTAAAGTTTCTGTGGAGGTTTTTGTTGTTGTTGTTGTTTTTTTTCCTTCCAGTGCTAGGGATTGAACCCAGGGCCTTGTGCATGCTAGGCAAGTACTGTACCACTGAGTTAGATCCCCACCAGGCCTAAAATTCCTAAATTTAATTTTAACTTTAATAAGGAAACTAAGTTATTTTGAAATAATGCCAAACTTTCATAAAGTTGGAAGAGTAATGCTTTAAATACCCAGATAGCCCAGTTACTATTTACTCTATTACTCTTGTCACATTTTTTTTTTTACCATGTCCATTATGATTAGTTCTGAAATAACTGAAAACTAAACTTGTAGACATGAAGCCACATTGACCTTAGGCATATTTGTGTGCTTATCCAAAAACAACCGTTGTATGGCCTTCTAAATTGGTTAATCATCATTGATTCTCCATTATTACCCCCATACATAGCCCTTACTAAGATTTCATCAATTGCCCCAATATTTTTATCTGAATCCTATCCAGTAACACATAGCGTATTTGTTAGGTCTTTTAAGGTTTAGATACCTGAAAAAGTTCCTTTGTCCTTTTTCTCTTTCATGTCACTGAGAATATGACTCTTGTTAGATAGCTAACCTTAGGTCCCTTTGACCTTTTCTTTTTTTTTAAAACAGAATTTTGCTATGTTGCCTAGGCTAGTCTCAAACACCTGGGTTCAAGTGATCCTCCTGTCTTGGCCTGCTGAATAGCTGGGATTACAGGTGTGCACCAGTTTGCCTGGCTTGTTCCACCTTTTCTTATGACCATGAGGTAATGCTTATTTAGCAGGACAAACTTCAAAATTGATGCTTTACTCAGGTGATACGTACTGTACTATATCAGGAGTCCCATAACGTTTTCATTGGCGTCTGCCAGGTTTTTGTACTATGATACACCACTTTTTGTGTAGGAAATTACTTAGTATTTTCTGATTTATTATGCTGGAATTAATGTCAATATCCTGCACGTCTTCAAACTTTTCTCAGCCTTAGTCTTCTGCCTTAATAAACGTCTAGTATAGCTAGTAACTTTCTGCTACCATCATTTATATATTTATTAGTTGCTATTTTACTGCAAGGAACAGCTTTCCTTTTTGCTCTTCATTTCATCAGTACAGATTACTGCTTATTTGGTAGGTTACATTTTTAGCTATTTTTTACTAGAGTATGCTAGATTTGGGCAGTTGAATTTATCTTCACAGTGGCTCCTGTGCCTTTCTAAAATACCTGTCATTCTTTAGGCACTTCCTTAGTACCTAACAGTAAGGTACTTTGCTTTCTGAGCTCCAACTGATGAGTCGGCCAGTTTTTCAAGGATCATTGATTTAGAAAGCAAACTGGTGTGCTTTGGCTAATGAGGTGTCACTGGTTCTAGCCCTTTTTCAATCCATAGAACCAAAAAGGATATTTATATACATGCAGACATACAAATCCCTGAAAGGCACATACCTGCATATCTGAACATTTTTTAAAATATTAAGTTCCATGCTATCACTTCAGTTATTCTTGGCTTTTAGCTTTTTACTTAGAAATGGTGAGATCCTATTACCTGTATATTTCCTTATTTCATCCCCATTGATCTATAATATATCCCAGGAAACCAGTTTCTCTGTCTGCCACTTCTCTACCTCACTGTCCTGTGTGCTCTACACTAGCAGGAACACAGCTAGCACACAGATCCATGATAGGCCATTGCTAATTCTCATACTCAAGGTACAAAAGGAAAACCCAAAATTGCCTTTTAAAAACTTAAATCTTTTTTTGTTTGTTTTGTTGTTGTGTTTTTTGTTTTGTTTTTTTTTTTTAACAAGGAGATCAGCAGAATCCAGCTCCAGCTGGACAGGTTGATTATACAAAGGCTTGGGAAGAGTACTACAAGAAAATGGGTATGCCGAACATTTTAAGTATATATACATAGATAATTAATTGATTAAAACTAAGTATTTCATATTATACATTTAGAAGTTAGAGATTTTGATAACAAAAACGTATTTGTACTGTTTATATTAGGTAACTGATCTGTTTTTGTAATGTTGAGGTTAAGAATACTGAACAAGACTACATTCCAAAACCATTGGACTTTCAGGCATATCAAGGCCATTCCAAGTAATTCTTAAAGTTGTTATATAGCAAGGAAATGGATTTGTCAGCAAGGTAATAATTAAAACTAGAAATTTCCTCATTTATAT